CCCCCAGCCACTGCTGCCTTCACTGGCAGCGAGAGCTTCAGCATAGGGCCTGCTTCGGTGGTAACACGGGCAGTGAGAGGAAGGTCTTTAATGGTTTGCTTCACCTGCTGCCCTTTTTTATGCCACAAATTCTCCTGTCACATTATTCAAGGAGACGTACATTTGCGAACAGTAGTAGGTCCCAACCTAACCTTTCTGGAGAAGTAGGTGTGTTTCAGAATAAACAGGACTGAAGCCAGAGAAGAAGGCAGTGCTAAGGTGCAGAGGAGAGTTTATCTGATACGTTTTGGGGTTTGACAGGCTCTGGACATAGTTGTCAACAAGCTGTGTTAGTCAACCGTGGCTGACTAAGAAGTGAAACTTTTCTGCAAGCAGGTAGCTTGCCTGGAGGAGAGGATAACTTCAGCATTTGTCGCTGATCCATCAAAATGCTCAGGCGTATATTTAAATACGTAGTCACTGGTGACTCTTTTCAAAGCTCACTACAGATACCAGGCAATTATTTACTATAGTGTTTTCTTTAGATGAGTTATGAGTTGAGATGGGAAAACCTACAACATTGCTGCAATCTTGGGAGGAAGGACTACTGATCCGTGCACAGCTGCTCAAACGAAGTAGGAGCTTTCCATGTAGTAAAGTGTGGATATTTAGAATGAGTAATGGTAGATTAACTCAGCAGTTTAAATGAACTTGTTTCTTCTGTAGGAGCAACTGGAAATTCGGATGACAGCAATGGAAAATCTAATACACCAGAGACTTCAAATCTATCAGAAGAGAAAGAAATTCAAGAGAAGACTGAGAAATGTAGAAATGAAAGTTTTGATGCTCATGATGAAGTGATAACACTTCTACCAAGCAGGGGAGAGAACGCAGATTTCCCATCTGGAAATATTCCTGCTAGAATTCCAGAGCATGCACAAGAATCAGACTCTTACAAACTCTCAAACCTCAACAAGAAGACAGACGGTAACGTACACAGTGAGGAGTCAAACCAAACTGAGGAAGCAGAGATGAGGAGCCAGACTCTGTCTTAGCGTAGCACCGCCTCTGCCGCGGTTCAAACCGTCTGGTTCATAGATAAGGACATCCCACTAGATTTCCACAGTGACTAGCTGAAAATCAAGTAATACCGGATAAAATATTCTTTAAATACAACAAACAAAAAAAATTCTGAGGGCTCAACCTGCAACTTCTGCTACCTAAAGGCGGCATTCCACTTGTTATATGTGCCAGGACAGCTTACAGGCTTCCCTTGCTCCCACATAAACTGGGCGGTCTGTCTGCCAGCAGAGGCTGGACATCGCTCTGGGGGTGGTTTTGTGCCTTTGCCCACGGAACAACGATTCGGTCGATTTGTGGAACAGATTACTGCAAAATGCAAAAAATTTATACAATATAAGGGAGACCAAGAGTATGCTGGAAAGACAAAGTGCTGGGTTCAGCTGTGAATTGTGGAGTGGTGGTCAGGTCCCCCGCACTTTGGTTTTGCAGTGCTTGCTGTTGCAATACAGAAAGTCTTTCATTCAGCTAGTTCTTTGCAACTGAGTGTTGTTTATTCTTTAGAACTGCCAAGAGAGAAGGCAGCTACTGAAAAGGCCATGCTTCCTGAACTGGGTGAATGTGCTGAAATGGAACAGATCAAACTGGAGGCACCGGAGAAGCTTTATCTTGACGTATGTATTGGATTCAGATTTTGAGACGTTCAGATTTGGGTATTGTTTGCTCCCAAATTAATTCTTGTCACATCCTGGCTGATAAAACTGTCTGTCCAGGTTTCCAAGTAAGGTCTACTATTACGAAAAGTAAAAGGAAATAAGGAAAAAACCCAAAAAGTAAAGCTGTCGGGGTATTCATTCCCTCTAGTGTAGTATGCGTAAAGAATTTACCACCGCTTCCAAAGATTATTTTTGTCCATAAATCACCTGAAGTTGACCTTCTGTCTCTGTGATTTCTCTGGAGAAGTTAATGAGGGCTCTCATTTATAAAACAGAAATCACAACAAAAAGAATCTAGTGGATACACGCGTCCTCTTAGGCAAAACACAAATGAAATGTGCAGTTGAAAATGTGAACTATTGCAGCAAAAGCAGAAGGAAGAAACAGCCACCCACTCATTGCAAATGTTAGCTAGCAGTGTTAGATAGTATAAATTAATTCTCAAAATATGACTTTTAGGTGTATTTCCAAGAAAGGCAGAATTGTTCAGGTATATAATAAGCAATTGACATTTGTAATGTGGTCTGCTATTGTCTAAGATTTCTGTCTGACGATGCAGACATCTAAACATGTTTACCCACACCGAACCATGAGGAGGACATGGATCCCACTGCGAAACACCATCTCACTTCAGACGAGAGCTGTTCAGCCCATCCCAGCTGTGACACTGCTGCTCAGCTGCCAGTGTCAGGTGATGACATAACCAGCAATAACAAACTTGTGAGCTTATCATTTCCCAGAGCGCTGAATATACTCTTTGCTCCCTTCTGCTGCTGCTGTTAACTGAATTCTGACTGGAATGTCTTAGAAAAGTCTTGTACACATTTTCTATGCTCTTAGTTTCCCAGGAAAAGATTCCATCCTGTAGTGGAGAGAACTGGCAGCAGTTCCAAGTACATACAGTATTATTTTTATAAGCAGATCTTGCAGGGTCTGAAATAAAAGCGTTAAATAAACAGAGATACTGTAGGTACCCACAATGTGAAGATCTCATAGATTCAGCCTTTGCTTTTTTCTTGGTGCTATGTGGCACCACAGCAAGCTCTTCTGCACAGACCTGAACATAGCATAAAAGGAACTCTTCAGCATATGTGCCTGGGGTTTCTTCTGACACATCAAAGGTGTGACTATGCTAATTGTGCAGAAGAAAAAACAAACCCAAATCACACACTAATCTACATTTCAGTGTTCTGTGCTACTTGGTCTCCAGCTGACTTTTAGCAATGCAAAGAGCCTCTCACACCGCCTCCAATACTTACACTACTGCAGCTTTTCCAAAGAGATTCAGCTCCGACATGGCAGGGAATGGCTGTGGAGATGCCACTGGCAAGAAGCTCTGGAGCAGCACCGTCGTCTTTACTCGTGTCCTGGAGCCAGGAGATGGTCTCAGCAGTAATATAAGGGCGAAGCGAGGGGGAGGATTTGTAATGCAGTGGTTGTGACATCCCTCTGTCAAGCAGAAACAAGCTCGTGTTGCTGCACATGCCTTGGCGTGTTTGAACTGCATTTTGTGCACCGGAACCGGGGTAGCGTTTAGTAAGCGATGCTGGGTTGATCTGCAAATGCGCCCTGCTGACTGGAGCAAGGCTACCGGCTATTTCCATTCACTACAGGCGTCAAGTTTCACTCACTAACATTAATCTCAGATATTTTTTTGTGCATTTTTAATGCTATTCTTATAAAACTGTCTGACTTCAGGACAGGCTGCACTAGCTACAATCATAGTCGGAAACAGAAATTTCCTTTTTTGATTTTAATTCCATAGTAGTCTTCACCACGCCAGACAGTACAGATTAGAAGTTCCTGACGCTGTCACACCGAGCAGCTTGCTACAAAATCATTAAGCTCTAAAAATGTCTAAAAACAAAAGGAGATGCTTTTACCGGTATTGACCTACACTAAAAAAATGGCAAAAAGTTATTACTTCCTACCTGTGATTTTGTATTCCCACCCTCTCTTTTTGCTTTGATGTCAGCAAACGATCGTTGTCTTAGGTTAATATTTGCTCATGGAAAGCTGAAATGATTGGCCCTGCCTGAAGAAAACTGTTCTCAGCAAGTGTGCAGTTCTCTATCCTTAATTACGAGGCATTCACGGTGAAACATTGTTTTATTAGATGTATTTAGGTTAACAGAGTTTCCTGAGAAGCAGTTTCAGGTAGACTGCAATCTTGGTTTGGCTAAAGACAGGCTGCAGCTGAGATGAAGTCTGTTGAATAGAGAAGAAACAGCTAATAGATGAAAATCACGCTTGCTTTTAAAACCCTGTTAATGCTGTGCTGCTCATCCTTTTTCCCCTGGTAATCACAGAGCACAGTAAATAGTGTCGTGTTTGGCCTGACATTAGGGTTGTTGCCTTCCCACCTCCTGTCGCTGGAGACAGACAGACCTTCCTTTTCCCCCCTGTGCTTAGCAGAGGACACGGTGGTCTCGGAGAGGATGCCGGCGCGGTGTTCTGGCTGTGGCCTCCTTCCCTGGAGAGGGTTCCTCTGAAGCGGATTCCCAGTGAGGCAGAGAGGTCGTGTTGCGTTGGTTAGAGCAGCTCTTCCCACTGATTCATGGTCTTGTGATTGTCCGCAGGAACTGCCTGATTTAGAAGATATAGATGTAAACAAATTTCCCCCAGAAGAGGAAATCTTTGTTCAAAAGGTGAGATTCTCGTGAATTCCAGTGATGGAGCTTCCCTAGACACATTTACAAACGTTTTGCGAAATAAGGACAATCTAAGTTGCGAAATGCTGTCTGGGGAGATGCAATCAGTTATGCATTTATAAACTAAAATGGAGGTTTCAGCAAGTCTTCTCTATCCACTTGTAAATACTTTTTTAAATTTTTTTTTTATTATTGCATTGCAAATGTAGGAGAATGAAAACCTAGGATCAAGTAATGCAACAGTTAAATATGACTAATTTCTTGGTAGCATGTAGTGTTTTAATGAAGATTACTCTTAAAATGTACTTTACCAATACTAATATGCCACAAAGGCCTGAACAGATTGAACAAATCGCCTACTGCTGAATAAAATCAGACTTTCCAACTGAAAGCACAGAGAGATTGCAACTCCTCTGTGCCACTCGGGACAGTGCGTGCCCACGTTAGCGTTGCGCTGTGCTCAGAGTGACCCAGGCAAAAGCCTAGAAACAGAAACAGCAGAGAAAAAAGAAAAAGAAAACACTGAAGACTGAGCGCGCAGCGTTGATTCTAGTGCTGGTGCTGACTGACGGGGGCTGGTACGGTACCTGTTTCCGCAAGTCCCTCCAGAATAATGCAGACTTTTCCTGCAGTCAGTGCAAGGCATGGAATTAATTTTCTCTTTTGCTCAGAGACTCATAACAGTGTTGCAAAACGTCTTGGCCAATAAAACCTCCAATTAAAAGAAGAGACAGGATGGGAACAAAGCAGCTTATGGAAGGAGTAGGCGTTAGCAGTTCTCACGATCTGAAGAGTGTTCAGTTCTTAACCGAAGTCAGATGAAGATGTTGGTCATTATGTTATGTTATGTGGATACAAGAGAGGTCCACGTTGCGCTTTTATATCTAGAGTAGTAAGGACAAATGACAGCGATTCTGCATTAGAGGAAAACAATAAAAGCATGTCTGAGGCCTCAGTAGGAGAAGTTCCAACAGCAATTTTTTCAAATGTCTGTAAGATACGTAAAGAGCACGAAAAGGAGCACTTAAGGCCCCTTGTTGAAAGCTTCTTTACAGAGCCTGCTCTTTCAGAAAGATACTTGGAGACCAAAAAGAAACGAGAAACCCCCTCGAAACCCTTGATAGAGGAGGTTATCCCAGAGTCCAAGGATGATCTGGTATCGTCACCGGTCTGCAGTCGACCAGCCGACCCAAGCCCACGGGAAGGGGAAAGTAAGATTACAGTTATTTGCCCTGGTAAGATTACAGTGACATAATTAATCACAGAGAAAAAGGTGGGTGCCACATGCACACTGAAAGTAAGGACTTGTTCAGCTCTTGTTGAAAAAATTTCCAATCCACTGTTAGCTAACAATGACCTCTTCCTTTTATTTATGTGGGAATCCTAATAAATTCGGCACTAAAATGTTATTTTCTCTTTTTCTACACAGGAGTTCTTGCTGAGTTTTATTTAAATGGTTTTAAAAAATTGGGCACTACAGTTCTTTTTCTGGAATGAAAGACCGCCAGTGAGTTTCATTTGCCTTTTGCCTTCATGCTTTTAGCAGGGAGCGGCAGCAATGGAGAAGCGCAGTGCCTGGCTGAGGGTGAAGGCTGTCCCCACGAAGCACAAGGTGCCAAGGACGGTGAGGGTGGATTGGATTAATCACCTTGGAAAAAAACCAGACCGAATCTGGAGCGCAGTGCCTGGCTGTCTGCATGCGGTTATTCGCTGAATGCAGAGTGCAGGGATGGGACCGTTAGTTAAACCCGACTTTTTATAGTTTTATAGCTCCCTGTGCTATAGAAACCACCACCTTCAGCAGGGGCACGCGGTGTTTCGGTCAGGGGCTGCCGCGGCCTCCAGCACCCAACCGTCACAGCAGAGCTTTCGGTCATTTCAGTGCGAAAGAAAAAAATCATTGTGCACAAGAGAAAAGAGTTGGCCTCACCTCCAGGGAGTGACGTTGTGTTTATGAGCTAACCACCAAGCACAACATCGGGAGTAAGCCAGGCTTTCAGTGACCTCACTGCATTAAGCCACACCCAAGGTGGTGGATGTCTTTTCTCGTATTTCTAGAGATCTCTAATGTTTCATAATCAGTGAAATTGAACAGGCCTTGTAGTTGTGCACATTTAAAGAAGAAATATTACTATGGGCTTGCTGAAAAGATTTATTTCCCATTAGCTGGCCTTAGGTGCCATCTGGTGGTAAGAGACCTGGCCCCAACCACAACGCGGAATAACCGTAAAAGCCCTCAGGGAGGACACCACAGCTGCTTTAAACTTCAGCGCTTTCCCTCTCCATCAGGAAAGGCTGCTGGAGCAACCCTGGGCCTCCAGGACAGGCGGGAGGACGGGCAGGGGCCCGTGGAGAACCGGCTTTGTCTGAAAGCACCTTCCCAGGCGCCATCTCTTTAGAAAGCCACGAGCTCGGTCCTCAGAAGATCTGCTGACCTTCTCTGGCAGAAAGCTGGAGGAGGGCTGCTCCGAGGGCTCTGGGCTGTGCGCTTTGTGTGCGGGGTGTTAGTGCCGGTCCTGGGAGCCCCTTGTCACACCAAGGACAAACAGGCAGGACGGACTGTATCAGCACACCACACTTCACAGCGAAAACACGTTTAGAAACAAAGGATTTTACCAAGTAGTTCCAAGAGTGAAGTCTGAGCTCTGTTATCACTGAAAGCAAGAAAAAAAAGGGATAAAAGGATAAAAAATGCACGTAATTTCAGTAACTATAGATTCTTTTGCTCTGATCCTGATTTTACCAGATACACCCACCCTGACCGGCATTTTAGGCAGAGGAGTTTAGCTGCTTTCTGAGCTGTGCTTGCTCGGCCACAGGTCACGTGCCAGATGTCCCCAGCTCCTGCGTTGTCAGACAGAAGATCACCACCCATCGGTGGGCCCTACAGTATCTCACGGGTGGATCTCCTGCATTCCGGGAAGCTGTTTTCACTGATCGGTGAGGCCTTGGGGAGGAGGAAAGGAAGAGGGGCAGGTGAAAGTAGCGAGAGAAACGCCAGAGCAGGACTAAGTGAGAAAAAGGAAACATGTTTAATTAGCGTTTCTGTAAAACTTTACAAATGTACAGCGTAGTGCAAAAACGCAGTCTCAGCACATCACCTTCAAGTAAAATTAACAATGTAAAAGGCCACGGAACACGAGCTCACCTCTTCGCAGGAGCGGCTCTCAAACATCGCTCCTGGAGGTTCCTCTCTCACCACCCAGCCCCAATCTCACATTTACAGTAGAGCGAAAAGCCTAAGGAACACCCAGGGAGCACCCCGAGCAGCCTCTCGCAGCGAGCGCGGGCTGCTGCTGGGCACTGTAAAAACACCGCGGCCTGAGACGGCGTCAGGGACCTGTGTTTGCTGCGCGGCACCTCTGCCTACTCGCAAGTCGCTCTCCTAAGGTGGTTCACTCTTCCACCCCAACCAGACAACCCAGTAAGACACCGAAGTGTACGTCTAACCTCAAGCATGTGATAGGCTCCATGAAAATACGGGGAAACTACGCAGGAGCTTGAGGTTAAGCACGTGCTTAAACAGCTTATTGGATCAACACATTCAGTGCTAACACTAAGGCAATCCAGCGTGTGAAGGTTCAGAGAAGGATGTAAATCTTCAACGGGGATCACACACTCCGTCGGGTGACACGAGACACCAGACAGATTGCAATTACCTAGGAGAAAACACGTAAACAGAGTGCAACTCCACGCCTTTCTATCCCTGGAAATGACAAGATAGAGTGGCAAACGGGCCGATCTAGGTGAACTTTCTAAGCACAAATCAATCAAAAAGAAAAGCCTTGTCCATGATACACTCAAGCACATCATCTAAATACCAGGCCAGTCAGATCTGCCAGAATTTTCCCTTAGTGCTGAACATGTAAACAGTGGCTGGGATTAATTCAGAAGCTCTCTCAACCTCGCCTCTGCAAAGACTGCACCACCAAGGTGGTGAGAGAGCTCCCAGCGCACAGCAGTTAGCAGGGGAAAATGGGCTCAAAAGTGAATGTCTCTGAACTAACACATCCATTCACGTATTGATAAATGGATGGGGGAAAGGGCAGTGACAGGAAGGTCCATTTAAAAAATGCTCATCTTCTTAAGGAGAAATCTAGCCTGCATTCATCTGATTGATTGACTACATTTTGGGGTGGATACTGCTTGACCATTCAAGGTGCTCAGAAATATTGTTCAGAACCAAAAATTGTCATGGCAATGGAAACGGTCAGAGCATTTCTTCAAACAATACTGGCACGGCTTACACCTCACTGTCCAAGCCCTTGGGAGGCCCGAGCTGGGTGAATTTCCTGGGTCTGTCTTACTGCCTTTGGGCAGCGTTCCTGAGGAAAAGCAACTCAATGAGAGGACACTGAGATAAATAATACATTCTCATTGGAACTACAGCATAAAAACCAAAGCTCTGCTTTGTTGAGAAACTAAGTCATCAGAAACCACATGGAAGAGGAAGATGAATGCACCCTTTGGAGGCTGGTCTCAGATGCGCAAAGGACAGAAGAGAAGTTAGGGGGACCTGGTGGGCTAAAGCTTCTACCTCTCTTCTACACGGAGTAGCTGAGAGTCCTGCTAAAAAGGGGATCCAATCAATTAAACTGGTTCATCAGATTTTATACATCAATAAACCGACAGGCACATCTTCAGGGGAAATAGAACAGGTCAAGGCCAAGGAACAAAATCACTGGACTGGACATAGAGTACTCAGCCAGCACCAAAACCCAGAGTGCGCTCCCTCAGTCCTCTTTGTACATGGAAAATTGTGGGTGCAGAAGAGTCTACCCCTTTCTCTTTTTAAAAATATGAGGTGCTCTGCTTTTATATTAGAGAAAATTAATTTGGGGCCAAAAAAAATCCCAAACAATAAACTCTCTCAATTCAGCATGGGATGTTTTGGGGTCTGTAGCTCCCCTAGAAGCCAGAGACACATTCTTGGAGCAGTCACTCAGAAAATGATCTTCTGCACACCCCGAGAGACCTTCATTTTCCTACTCAGCCTAGGAAGATAAGGGAGAGGCACAAGTACATCCCATCAAAACCAGAAAATGGATAAGGGAATAATTTTAGCGCATAGGACTGGCATATAGAACTCTTTTCCTGTTTAAAAAACAGCATCCAGAAGGGTCAGGCATCTCAGCTAGTCTGTGCTGCCCCAGTAACATCCAACAGTTTGCCGTTGCAGACACTAGTCAGGATCACTTTATTTTATGAAGTCCCTGATGTATTTTCAAGCTACTCTTCACTTAAACTTTATTAGAAGATTTGAAATGTCTAAACGCATTTTCAAAAAGAAAAAAAAAATCCTGCCAACTTCTCACTCCCCATAGGAGCAAGCACCAGAAGCCATATTTTGTTTTACAATTGTTATCCTGGGGAAACACTGAAATCCAGGTGCAGGGCGGGTGACGCAACAGCTACCGACCGCTTCCATCTACTCAGAAAGAAAGGGCATAAAAAGAAACTCTCTTGTGGGTTTCTGAGTCACTTCTGTTTCTTTACATTCAAACCTGTGGATGCTTGGATGGGTGGGAGGGAGATGGTGTTCCATGGAAGCTAAATCACTGGTTGTTGTCAGTTGAAGAGGTCAGGTTTAATGGGCCATCCCCTTGGACTCCCACAGAGGACAGGTAGGAAGCCATAGTTTCAGATGGAACATAAAGCGATGAACTTTCAGGCAAGCTGATGAGGTCATTTCCAAAGATTGACTGACTATCAAGGAGAAACTGCTGGGCACTTTCAAGAACGACATCTTTCTTTTTTTTTATGGACAACAGAAAACTCAGTTTCTAGAAGGTAAGTTACCAGACTTTACATATGTAGGTTGGATATTAGGAAAAATTTCTTTACTGAAAGAGTGGTCAGGCATTATACAGGCTGCCCAGGGCAGTGGTGGAGTCCCTGTCCCTGGAGGGGTTCAAAAAACGTGTAGATGTGGCACTTCAGGACATGGTTTAGCAGGCATAGTGGAGTTGGCTTTACAGTTGGACTTGATCATCTTAGAGGTCTTTTCCAACCTCAATGATTCTATGATTCTACATGTAGAACTGAAAAGTGGCAAATTCCCACTGCAACAGGTGGTGAGGCACCTCACTCCAGGCAAAAAATGCTTGGAAACACTTCAGTCAAAAACTTGGACTCGCTCAAAAGCCCATCCAAATTGATGGGGGTCACTCCAGGTTGCCAAGCTGGGTTCTGCTGGAGTGCTGAGATGCCTCACAAGAAGCGAAAGAGGGATGGCCAAATGGTTCGAGATGCTGAGAAGTGGATAAGAGCAGCATTTCTTCTCCTTCACTCAGGAACTGTCTGGTTTTCCTCATGTTTGCAGCAGGAGACATCTGCCATTTGCCCCATTATTCCAGGATGACACCACTGCATGGACCAGAAATGCTTTGCAAACAGGGGATGCTCCTCTTGGGCAGTTCAGCCCCAACCTGTTGAAGAATTCTGTTCAGTGTAGCTGGGCTTTTAATGCCTTTAATGCTCATGCAAGATGCTGGCTGGATGCTTCCAGTGCAGACTTGAAGTCCTTGAGTCCACACAATACATCAAAACTCTGAGGTGGGGTCAGGTGGCTACAGCACCAAACTAACGCTCACAAAAGCTTCTCTTTCAGGTCTAGCCCAGCTGAATACACGTGAAAATAATAATATATCACTATTCCAAGACCAGGAAAACACTTCTAGATTCATATCAAAGGTCAATGACACACTTTATCAGAATGAGTGGGTGGGAGAAGATCAGCTGGACAGTTCCCTTGAGGTCTGGCAAAAGGTCTGGAGAAACAGAGACATAACCTTTGCCTCTGGCTGCCAGCAGCTACCGGGTCACTTCCTCTGCAGCAGGAGCCAGAGGAAACATGGGACCCATCCAGCTCTTACCACCCCCCCTTCACTTAGATCACCACATTGCTCTTGGGTGGCAATGAACAGGCAGAGAAAACAGCGGAGACACTGATAGATATGAGGAGGACCCAAGCAGGAGCAGAGGCAGCTCAATTACATTTAAACCTCTGCTTATCCCCCGTGCATTTCCCACTGCTCAGTAACTGGCTTAGCAGTTGCTGTGGAAACATTGTTGCCTGCCAATCATGAAAGCAAAATAACAAACATGTTTTGTTCCTTGAAAGAGGCAAATGGTCAGTGCCGGACATTGCATCTAGCTGCTGGCATGTTTAACACCTAAATTACATCCCCAAATCTGAGTTTGCAAGAGCTGTTAGTGCTCCTACCTGGGCAGGCGTTGTTAAATGGTGGGTTGATCGCTTTTGAGGACAGCTCAGTTGCATTCTTCTCCAGATCCACTGTGAGTCGCTGTATCTTGATGCAAAAATATAAACTACAATGTACAATTATACAAAGACAGGGGAGCTTGTTAGAACTAGGCCATTTCTGAAAATCAGTGC